TATATATATATATATTGTGTCAGTTCCTGGAGTTGAGCATTCAAATCCGAAAAATACATCACATGTTTCTGAGGTGTTTTGAGATTCTAAGAGCACTGAAGCTTGGAGGGCAAAATAAGAAGCATTGTCAGAATTTCTTAATGTATGATGTTTCTAATCCTCTTTTAAGTTGTGTTATTCATAGTTAGGATAATTTCAAACCTCAAGTTTACTTGGATATCATCTGCTGCATTTGGGTTTGCCTATACTTGAAATCCCCGGACAAACCATACAAGTCTTTGACTCCATGGGGTGTAAGAGGTGTTAGCGTTTACCATCCCGGCCTAACCTCTTAAAGGTGGTGTCTTTATTTTATTTTTATTTTTTTTGCAGGAGGCTAAAATTGAAGAGTACTTCAAACCAATAGATAAGCAAGCAGAGTCGATAATGGAGATTCAGCTGCAAGGAGAGAAGAAAACCATGGAGCAAATGATGTCAGCCACACAGGATCATACCTTTAAAAAGATAGAAGAAGCGGAGAAACATGCCATGGCACGAATTAACGCAAAGGCGGGTGAGAAGAAGCCATATTCAGAAACCTCAGCCAGCAAGCAGGCTCAAAGCAAGGTAAAGACAGATTCTTCTTTGGGTTGACACAGCTGAGCAGTTTCAGAATCTCCTCCCCCTAGTGGTTTTCTCTTGAAATTACAATGATTGTTAAGTTGATTAAGATTAAAATTGCAGCCTTTCGTCAGTTGTTTTTTTTTTTTGTAAATAAAATGGAAGAAAATTTTGAAGGATGGCGTAGAAACATGTCATGATTGAGGTTGTTGGCTCCGCCATGTATTTGCTAGGTCTTGTGTACACGAACCTATTACCGGTTTTCCTGCAGATTGAATTCAAAACGCTTCTCGTTTGCATATTCAAAACTTTGATTTGTTGGACTTGGTTTGGATTTAATACTTGTAATTAAACTAGTTTACGGTTTTAACAGTTGCTGTGGTGTAGTGGTTATCACGTTAGTCTTACACACTAAAGGACCCCAGTTCGATCCTGGGCAGCAACATATCTGTTTTGTTGCATAAACAACCCACAATGAAGACATTTTTACTTTCTATTCTACCATTTTTTGCTTTTTTTCTGGAATCCATGCTGTTCAACTCGTCGTGGATCCAACTGCTTGCTGTTTATCATTTCTACGAAATGCATGCCGTTCAACTTATCCAAAAGCAAACTGTTTGCTGTCTGAAATGGTTTCGACAACCATGTCGTTTGTTCGATGCAGAAGTCAACTTCGTGTTGTTTCTTGTATTCTCAAAAACCATGTCGTTCAGCCTATTCCTTAAGTAACTGTTTGTTGTTTTTCGCTTTTTGCAAAGCACGATGTTTCACTCCTGCAGAAGCCGACTGCCTGTTGTCTTCTATATCTTCGAAGAGCACGTCGTTTAACTTGTGTAATCTCCAACTGTTTAATATTAAATCATTGATAGGCGTACTTATAGAAAATTGGGACAGAATTTACCGACTTAGATTATTATTACGGTGTTGTTTGTATTTGCTATTATTTTAATAAAATATAGAAATTGATAAGCGTTTAACGATTTTTCGGAAATTAAAAAGAAAAACTAGAAAATACGAAAATTTATAAGCCAATTCTCGTAACTATATAAGCAACCGTAATGATGGTATTTGCACGATTATTATTTTCACTTTATAAAGTGTATATAATTTAATCGTTGTAGATAATTGTAATATGAGTATAATCATTGCAGATTTTATTTGATTTATTTATTGGTATCTGAGTCGGGTTAGTCGAATTCAGAAATGGAGATGGCTTGTTTGCCTTGCAAAAACATCCCCACGCGCACCACATCTCCGAAAAAAGCCAAATTTGCCAAAAACGGCGCTTATCCCTAGGTTATAGTCCAGGGATTTGGGGCGAGTGAGGTCGACGCGTGGTTTGAGCGCGTGAAGCGAATTGTTCAGTTTGTTTCATCATGCTACGGATGGGTCACGTGCTCTCGTGTTATTTGGGCCTAATTGAAGTTATTTGGGCCTTCGATCGGTCTTTAATGGGCCTTCGGTAGGCCCATTTGGACACTTTTAGTATACTTTGACTTTATTGGGCCTATCGGTGTATTCCCACTGCGTAGCTTTTGAAAAATTCAAGAGTAGCAGCAAATGATTTGTAAAAAAAATTCAAATCAAAGCTGCTGGATTTATCTCAGCAGTGTATTAACTGCGAGTACCCCGAGCAAAGGGGAAACGCAATTTCACAAATAGCTTTAGGCTCAAAATTTATTAAGAAATAACCAGCTATCATGGACGGATGTGCATTTGCATTTTTGTGGTAAGCTAATCTTAAGTATAAAAGATTCTTTAAATTAAATAACACCTTCCACGTTTTTTAGTTTATATTGTAGGAAACATCCTTAAAAAAACGATCCCTCAACAGTCACTATAGTCCAATACTAATGTTTCGAAGGCTTGCTTATCAAAACCATTTTCCTAAAAAGGAATGGCCTCAGGTTCAAACAAAGCCGTGTGGCCCTAACGCATGCAACGCTACATATTACTACTACATAGGCTTAGAAATACACAAAAGCTATAACAATTGCTCTTAACCTCAAATCACATAAACTCTTCTTTAAAGGGTTTTAATTTAAAAACATGCACGTTGGCTGAAGAAGATTTTTTTAAAGAAAGAGATTGGGCAACTTGATCAATCAAAACGCGGAGTGGCTTACTTGCTTTGGCTGTGAAGAAAGTCTCTCATCTGAGTGTGAATTTCGGATTTCACAATGAGACGCATTTTCTTAGAATCTTCCCACAGCAGAGCTCCCCATTCACGGCCAAAGTCACAAGCTGCCTCAAACACCTCCTGCCAACAATTTTCAAGTTCTTGATTTCCGGTTGAGAGATTTATGAATAGAATTTCAAGTTTCTTTACCCTCGAAGGAAATTCATCGTAGAAGTGACCCGGTGTCATCTCTACTCTATTCAGATCCATCTCCCAAAGCCGTATCTGCTATAAAAGTAGACTCGTTCTTTGTTATTTTGAAATATACACGGGATGGGATTGTGACAATATTACTCTTCATAGAAGGAAGAGTCTATAACCTGGTCGGATACATTTTCTGGAACAGAAGGGATCCTGTCTGCAACACGTGGATGGGCATTCTGCTGCAGAAAAGAAATTATCTGCATTTCCAAAACAAATGTCCTAAAGGCAGTATCAAGTGTTTCTTTAAGTTCTCGTGCAGACGATATAACCTTTCACTGGCTAAGCCCTCTGCCAGATTCCTTAAATTCATCCAACCGAACAAAACCAGAAGTTGCTATTCACCTGTTCTGCCGTGATGCCATTCTCAAACGCACTATACAAGCTTTCCTTCGTAATTCCGGCGACTACAAGGTTAGGAAGTTGGTATTCTACCCTGAAAATAGAGCCGTGCCATTTAGACCCAAAATAATTTCAAATACATAAAAGAGAGACTTCCTTAAGAGCATCTTCATACGTTACTACCTCGCAAAAAGACGTAAAATTTCAGCATGTAACTTAGATGTCGAGTAAGCATACATCCTGAAGTTTGTTTCCACCATGACAAACCCCTGCGGGAAATAAGAAAATATAAGGATGAGCTAAATGAAGAACAAAGCATCAGCTGATAGAAGAGATCAGCACATGATTTGAGGTAAAAATCTTGACCTCTTTTCTCGCAGATGAATCTGCTAAACTGACTGATAGATTTGTAGCCAGCTTAGTTGGAATAAACCAAGCATCTTTCCTGCCCTGTGAAGATAAAACAGAGTTTAGTTCAGTATCTCGATGTTTATCTCCTCCCTTTTGTTTTGTTTTGTTCCATTTTGCAAGTTATATCTTTTGATAACAAAGGAGATAGCACAACTAGCATAACCTGTAGAAGCTTGACCAATCCCAAGTCTGCAAGGTCCTTGATTGTATTTCTCTGAACCTCGGTCAAGGTATTTATGTTATATGCCTGACATGTGAAAAGAACGAAGGGATTCAACGAGAGCTAGTTTCTAGTAATATATCAAGAAGCAGTACAGAAAATAAAAGTATGCTTTAATGACCTGATAAATTTATGTTATACCTCTCCCGTAGCATGGAAACTAAGCTCTAACAAAAATGAAATCAGATCTGCGGGATCAACATCTCGCTCCTGAACCACGATGACATCTGGTTATTCATATTGCAAACTGAGATATCAACAGAACTAAACCTTGGATTAAATGATATAAACCTCAGCATTGGTTATGTATTCCCGGATGATGTACCAAAGCTGAGCATTTGTATCCATTAGCTGCATATTAGAGTCAATGAGATCATTAACATTGATACAAGTGAGAAGAAATCAAATGGTCAATGACTCAAATCTTGCATACCAAAAACTGAAAGCCACTCTCAGTTAACCTCGGGCCATCTCTGTCTCTGCAGGATCGAGTGGACTGTATTAGGTAAGGAGGATTTTTGCCATCATCAGGCAGCGATTGATAATGCAACACAACCATACCTTTGAGTTAAAAGACCTCGTTGGAAAATTTTCATCATGGAAGAACTGATGCCAATTAGCTTATCAGCTTGAGCTGAATTTATGAGTTGTAGCAAGAAGCACTGATTAACATACATGCAGACCATCAGATATTAACCAAACCCCAGTATAACCAGGTTTCTTATGCAATTACTTCTGTCTTACTACTGAATACAGATACGAAATTCTCTGCAAAGTCACACCTCCCATTGCTGAAGGGCATAAGTTTCTAGTTCTTGCAGACTTGGGAGCTTGATGGCATTGTTTGAAGGCAGAGGTTCCCTCGGTAAAACTCCACTGAAAAATCAAGTTTAGAGCACGAGCATCATTCATATAAATCGGAAAGGAGAAGAACAAAAATAAAGAAATAGATTATCTGTAATAGCCGACTTAACCAAAAAACTTTACCCATATATTATATGTTTCCGAAGATTACTCTGAAATGTTGGATTTAATCTGTAACTGGTTTCCTTTTTCCTGGAAAAAGTAGAAATCCACGATTTCAAAAAATGCTTGAAGCCACCCTTGGATATTTTTGGAAAAAGTGGAACTCTCCCGTCTTGCTACAAATCAGCAGCATGCACAATCAATCCAACCCAATCCAATAACAGTGACTAAGTACCAAAAGAACCTCACAGCTAAGGCCATATTGAGCTCCCAAGTTAATGTTCAACACCATGAGATGGATATTGCTCCAAACTAATAACATTTTCCCTAAATCCTAACTGGAGTTCTCAATTTAGTGTCCAATGCCAAAGGGAGAGGGATGCTCCACACTAGAAAGATATGACAACATCCTTACTCATGATCTGTTGTCCCAAATTACGACCTCCAAAAGAAGGTTCAAATAAGCATCAAAGCACCATATGCCGTGATATCTTGAAATTAAAATATGATCAACAATCAACATAAAAGTCACAGCAGAAGAACATTTTGCCATACCTATCAACCGCTTCTGAAAGAATCCTTAATTGAATTAACCGATCGATCGCGACTTTGTGCTTAGAGACACCATCTGCAAGCACCCACTCTTTCATCAGCTTGGCGGGCACAGGCACATCAATGTACAACATCTGTAATACATATTTCTTGGCCAGAGGAGGCAAAGACCTGAAATAGCAATAATTGTATTCAGGCAAAAAAGTACCTCCTTCAAATTTTCCAATAGAATATATTCTCAAATTCAACAAACCAAGGATCATTAACATTCACAAACACCTAAATTCGCACTTCGCTACTAAGCTTACCCAACTTAGAACCATGGAATTCATCTTGGATACGCATAAACCAACCTGAGAATGGCCTCGCAGATGAAGACATTGTTGTAGAGCTTGTCGAGTTTGATGGCGGGCAGAGCCGCCACCATGTCCATGAAATTCTTCGCGATGATCTTTACCTGCGGCATCTTCTCCAACTTGCCAATCGGGGAGGGGGGGGGGATCGAATCCCCGGAGAAAATAGGTCAAATTTAGGGGGGCTCGAACAATGAGAGCTGAAGAGGGCAGAAGAAATCTTAAACCCGAACAAGTGAAGAAATTAGTGTTTTTCCATTCATTCAGCAGAAAGAGATACCACCACGATCGACAAGAGAACTATCGCTCCGCCGACCCGAATTTGAGAGTCTCCGAGCACACCACCGTCGCCGGCCTAGACTCGGCGAACAAATTTTGCCGGTACCAGTTTGTTTTGTCGCCTCCACTCCAAAATTTAAAGCAATGAAGCAAACATATTCGTGAAACAAATGAGCTGGCCCACTACGGCCCAAAGTTTAATTATTATTATTTTTAATCGTACAAGACATTCAGGCCCAAATTTTAATATATTCTACTATATATCTTTATGGCTCAGCTGTAAGCCATGATTATTCATTTCCTTTTTTTTTTTTTTATAAATTGGACAATGAACTTGTATTTAGACTTGGGGCAATTCACTGTGTGGAATTTTTTATTTATATAAAAGTATAATGAAATACCTAGAGAAAAACACATTATAGTTGGTTCTCGCTCTTTTATGGGCCAGGCCCATAAATCAGACACTCGTCCAATTCTAGAAACACAACACATACATATCATGTATGAAACAAAAGAAGTTGATTATTTTAAAAATGTTTTAAAAAAAAAAGAGACAACACTTGACCTGACTGTTGTTGAATAGCAGGCAATGGCATTTCACAGGCCTAGGAATCTGAGAGTCTCTCTGTTCGGAGAAGAATCCTAAAGGCATGTATCATTATACAAACATAACATTATGTCCGTTGGTTCCATTGATGTCACCTCTCATCTGATCTCCGTTGCGTTGGAAGCTCCGTTTTCCATAAATATGTTATGGTTCAGTTCATATCTGCATCATATCATCAACCCCCCACCCAAAAATTCTGATTTATGATTCAACACCATAACAGTTAATAATAAATCACACGAGCATAAGATTTGCATACACAGGTTCAAACCCAAGATGCACAAATTCCTTATAATGGGCAATGAAAATGATCTCGATCTCGCTAACCAACTGAAACTGTGGGAAGGCACAGGCCACTAGACCACTTGCGTACATTATGCATCTCCACATCTTGCTGGGTCTCAAATCCTACCTATTATGTATACTTCTAATGCATTGATCACAGCGATTTGTGAGGCGCAAAAGCTGTTTTGAGCTTTTTGCTAGTGAAAGACCCGTTCTTTTGGACAGTTGGCCAGAAATTTGACAAACCAAGGAATGTACTACTTCCTCATTAGAGAATAGAGTGTAGATGTGTCAAATTTTATTGGACATGTATGATTTTAGTTTTAGGAGATAGATCAACGCTCTGAAAAGCTATAACATTATCATGATGAATGTGCTATCTGCAGAATGAAAATCAGCAAAGTCACTTCACCTGGGGATCAGGACGCCAGTGTTCCCAACTCTCATATGAGTTGAGCCTTCTTAAGGTCCGAAACAACTCCACTGTCCTGCTTGCTTCGTTCGTTATAAAGGACCTGCGGTAATTTTATGAGAAAGAATCATTCTATGATGCAGAAAGTGAATGGTTGTGTTGCAGAAACTCTTCTCTGCCTTATACCTTATCTATGATCCCATATTCAACGGCCTCACTGGGACTAAAATATTTCGGGCGTTGCATGTCAGCTTCAATCTGCTCTGGGGATTTACCGGTATGCATTGACAACAGCTTGACCTTGAGTATAACATTACATAACTTGGTTAGAAAAATCGAATAACACAGACATATACTTCAAACTCAAGATTAATAAAACTAAAAAACTTCATTGGGAAATGAGAGGAAAGGAATGAGAATGTGATGGGTATTCCATGCATCTTTAATATCTCTTTAAACCTTTAATATAATAGTTACATACTAGTTCGTATTGGAATTAAACTAGGGCACGTCTCGTTCCTAGAAGGTTCACTGTAAATCGCAAGGATCAACAGCAAAGATCATAATACTTTTTCGCTGCATAAATTCTTATAACGTTGTACAGAAATTACTAGTCTCACCATTTCTTTCTTTATGTTGTTGATTTCTTTCCTTGCAACATCAACATCACTTGCTTGACCTTGAAACCGAGCAATTGGCTAAAAATCACAGAAAATCATAAGAAAATATAATATTTGTGTATATCCAACCATGCCCACCAGGAAAGACCATCAATCCGAGGTTCTTCCGGTGCAAGAAGCTGGTCAAAATCTTCTGGGGCAAAAAAACAGAGGCCCAGTTCCTAAAGAAAATGTAATGGGAGAACCTGCTTTATCATAATCGTTGATGAGGGCAACGCAGAACGATTTCCTTTTGCACCAGCAGTCAGAAGCAAAGCAGCTTCACCCCAAGCATTCCCAACACAGAGAGTAAAGATTGGTGCCTTCACATAACTGGAGTTGGCGGGAAGTAAGGTTTAGTTCTTGCGTGGACACTCGTACACAGAAAAAACAAGGTTGGTTTCCACAAAAAATAAGTCAAGAAAAGTTTAATCTGAAAACAATTGAAGTTTGTTCTGGCTATAAGCTGTCACATGATTTAAACCTCCGATTGTTGATCATAAACTCTTCCTTCAAAAAATACGGTAAGAGAAAAGATGTAATTTATGGGTAGGACAGAGATTGTCAACCTCATGACATCATAGACTGCAAAAGCCTCAGTATCATAGCCCAATTTCTCACCACCCTGAAATGGGAAGAAGATTAATATTATTAAAAAGGTTTTAAGGATGAAATGATCAATTATGCGTTTAGTCCTTCTTTTGAAACAAATCAGTCAGATATTCTTTGCGTACAGTTCAGCAG